TAATTAGTGCTGTATGATTGAACATCAAATAGTTTGCCTTGGTAATTACTGCTGCAGGGTTTAACAAAATAATTTGCCTTATTAGTTACTGCTGTAGGATTTAGCATAAAACAGTTTGCCTTAGTAATTAGTGCTGTATGATTGAACATCAAATAGTTTGCCTTGGTAATTACTGCTGCAGAGTTTAACAAAATAATTTGCCTTATTAGTTACTGCTGTAGGATTTAGCATAAAACAGTTTGCCTTAGTAATTACTGCGGTATGATTGAACATCAAATAGTTTGCCTTGGTAATTACTGCTGCAGAGTTTAACAAAATAATTTGCCTTATTAGTTACTGCAGTGGGATTTAGCATAAAACAGTTTGCCTTAGTAATTAGTGCTGTATGATTGAACATCAAATAGTTTGCCTTAGTAATTACTGCTGCAGGGTTTAACAAAATAATTTGCCTTATTAGTTACTGCAGTGGGATTTAGCATAAAACAGTCTGCCTTAGTAATTACTGCGGTATGATTTAGCATAAAACAATCTGCCTTAGTAATTACTGCGGTATGATTGAACATCAAATAGTTTGCCTTAGTAATTACTGCTGCAGGATTTAATATAAAATAATTTGCCTTAGTAATTACTGCTTCAAGGTTTAACATTTTGGATTCAACGTGAACAAAATCCAGATACACAAAATAATTATACCTGACTTCTTTGTATTACTGGTCTACTTTTCACAGTAATATCAATTTCTACGTTTTCAATCTTTAGGATTCCGTGTTTGGTGCAGGTGAAAGGCGATTATTTGGTTCCTTTATGACATTAATATTTTATTTAAGAGTTTATTAAAGCAGATTAAGCAAATGTCATGTTATGGCTATTTCATATTAATTTACTTATTACTTATTCAGATGAGTATTGGGTAAAAGCTAGGCATAATATGTCTATGTGGTTCGCCCAACTTCTACGACGGACTTTAAAGGTTACTTCTACCTCTCAGTATCATACAATCATTAAACACATCTAGTAGCAAACTATGGTATTGAATATATTTTTGGCATGTGTTGCTGCTTATGCTTTTTGACAAGGAGTACAATTCGAGGGGGGTTGGTTGGTAATCAAACCCACGTGAGGGTGTGCTTTCAAGTGTGTAAAGAAAGGTGTAATTAGTGACGGTACCTGTCTGGCGGAGAGCATCGCTAGCAGACTTTTATTCGACGAAAGTGAATGTGAAACCAGAAGCTACGGTAGAAGGGGAGATATAACTCTTCTAGTTTATAGTTTTGTTTGTCACGTGCCACGGAAGTATCTTTGACACTGTATGTTTACGTCATTTAATCACACGCATACATGCCTAGTTTAATAAAATGAAAAACTTGAATAATGTAAGAAGATTAGGCATTAAATTGAATGCAACTTTTAATTTAATCTAGAAAGATGACGATAAATTAATTTAGTTAATAGTTTTTGGTGTTGTAATGATTCTACAATAAGTATAGTGCACTGCGCATTACAATTTAATCATGCCGAGTGTATAATAATTATATATATTATTTTTACTATTTACATATTTTTTAGTTATATATTTGATAGACAAAGGCTTGAAACGCGTGTTTTTATAATCTTACATATTCAATTAGATCGAAGGTCAAAGCAGTTCTGAATTTTATTGATACTTACACAATCATATGATGTTCTTAGATAATCTTTAACGCTCTCCAGTGGCTTAGTGGCGAGTCAGTAGGCTTATAACACTAAAAAATCAGGTTTAGATACCCGCGCTGGGCAGAGCACAGATAAGCACATTGTGTAGCTTTGTGCTTTACGACAAACAAACAGTCTTTAAGTAGAATAGTGAATTATTTGAATTAAAAACATTTGGCTTATAAGGTGTAGAAGCTTGATATTCGCGTGCAGTTTCTTTAGAACTGAAGTTTACTAGTACTTCAGGTTCCCAACACTGACATTGCCTGGTAAATCTTAGTTTTCGAACATTTAAGCTGGCTAATCAAATTTAAAATCCAGTGCTGAAGTTAACCTTTTATTTGAGGTTTTAGCTATCAAATTATATCAAACATATATATGAAATACTAAAACTAGATGGATTGGATTTGCAAAACTACGCTTACCTAATTATTCTCGATTTCCAGCAATGAACTTGGCTGGTTAGTTTTAGTCCCTGAGACTGAAGTTTAGTTGGCTGGTTAGTTTTAGTCCCCGAGACTGAAGTTTAGTTGGCTAGTTAGTTTTAGTCCCCAACACTGAAGTTCAGTAGTTGGCTGGTTAGTTTTAGTCCCCGACACTGAAGTTAAGTTGGCTAGTTAGGTTTAGTCCCCGACGCTGAAGTTATTTATTTTGATTGCTATACACAAAGTATTGTCTATTTTAAATATCTGTTGTTGAAGTTAGCTAGTTGGCTTGAATCTTTGATTCGAAATTTAGCTCTGGACTTCGGATATTTTTGATTTTTTTAAATCTCCAATGTTGAAGTAGGAGAGCCAACTGGCAATTCATGCCCCCCCCCCTTTTTTTTCTTTTTTGCCCATTTTGTACCATGATATTATCAACTGAAACCCGAGGGAATTCATCATTTAATACAAAGAATGCTTAAATAATATAATTGGCTGAAATTCAACCGTTTGGTGACAAAGCAAAGTTAGTTAGTGTTTTTCTTCCTCTGCAGCCGTTAAAAAAGAATGTGCAATGTGTTTTTTATTTTTTGTGATTTGAACAAGCTGTAAAAAATTATCTTTTTAAAAGTTCGTTTGAATACATCAAGAACTACTTAGTATGTATATAAATAATTAATTTTTTGACACAGTCAAGAGAAGTTGATTAAGTTCAATTTAAATGATTCTTTTAGAAAGAAACTCGTAATTATGGGGTTCGTGTACATGCAAGCTCTTTATTAGAAAACTGTCTGTCGTTTTTTTTATTTTTTAGTAATAGCAAGAAAAAACGTTGTAAACTTTTCGACAACAGACACCGAGAGCGCTCCAAAAAGCAGGTTCCCAACTAATGAAATCCGGATGTTCAGAAGAGTTGTTTTTTTTATATTGGAAACATATAATTACGTGTCATTAAATGGTGGAATCGTTCCTTTGGTATTGTGCATTTCAACTGGGACCATTCATAACGGAATATTGGCTATAAAGTTGACTGAATCTAATAAACATTTTGGACCCACCTGTGCTATTCAAAGTAGTTTAACTGATCCCATTTCCGGTAGTAATAGAGACAGAAAACCTCGCGGCCATATATATATATAGACTGCCATCACTTTCACTGACATATTCTACTACAAATATATAGCACGTGACCTTGTATTCCTTCCCATGATTGGTAGAGTCAAGATAAACCAAAAATGTTTCTTTAAGAGCTTGAACAATAGTAAAACGTAAACAAAAGCTTCAAAGAAGCTTTATGATGGAGAAACATGTGACTGGAATTTTTATTGTGTAGTTTCTAGAAAATGCGAGTAGGCAGATCAAATTGGGCGAGAAAGGAAAGTATTGTTGGAGAATGATGTGCTAAAATATGCGAATTTTTTCTTTTGAAACTATTTGTTTAAGATTAAGTTCCAGTGACGATTACGGGTTTTCAGTTTCTTTGTGCTATATTAGATTTGAAGCATTTATTGGGGTGTAGGAGTAAACGACGTTTCGGTCTCTTTCCTGAGGCCTTCAGCAAGTCGTCTAATCCTATACTCCAAAAATATGCAGCCAATAAACGTTTCAAATCGTATGCGTTCTGTTGTGCCTAAAACTATTCTAAAATAACGATATAATTGTTTTATTTTCAGAAAAATTTCAAGAGATGACAAGGCTTGCAGAAAACAACACACACACACTATTTTCTCAGACGTATAAAAAAATGGAGTCTGTTGCTCGGTTACCGACTGAGCAACTTTTTGCCGATCTCTTGGCATACTTAAAGGGTAAAGACATAACTGTGGGACAACGTGTGGACTCCTTCTTTGCGTCTCTTTTTCCCATTGTCTACCATCATATCATCAACCCAAACTTGAGAGAGTTCAGCAATGATTACAAGGAGTGCTTAAAGGAAAAAGTAGCTGAAATCAAACCGTTTGGTGATAAAGCAAAGTTGGTTTCTCTTCAGATAGTGCGCTCTCTTGATGTTGCTCGTATTCTTCTACAAGCTTTGAACCTCGGTGTAGAGATAATCAACACAACGGAACACATGGACTTTGGGCAAGAGTGTAATAAGGCCCTAGTCAAGTTGACCTATTGCGCGCACTGCCAGCGACTGGTCTCAGTTAAACCTTGTAGTGGGTTCTGCCTGAATGTAGGTCATGGATGTTTAGCCAAAATAGCTGAACTGGACAAACCATGGGGCGATTACGTAGGAGCGCTTCATAGGCTGACAAGTGGAATGAGTGAATCCTCAAACATTGAAAAAGTCATGAATCTATTAGACGCTAAAATTTCAGAAGCCATCATGCATGCGATGGATGATGGACCGGAAGTAACAAAAAAGGTAGGTTGTGTTTAAAGGACGATTTTTTGTCGTGAATTTAATTGTCTAAACAAATCTGTTGTAGGAGAATAATTTTACGGGGGGGGGGGGAGAAAGACAAACTTTATCTACTCAAGAATACTTTGTATCTCATAGTTACCTTAGGATTGGAAATTTCGTACGGAAAAATATAATACATTAAAACACCCTGGTATTTTGAGCCTTACGAAAGTATATAACTGTATATAAAATGGCAATGTAACATCAAAGTTTATTAAGAATAAAAAACATTAAATGAAACGTATAGACACAGTTATCAATCACATAGATATTAGATATGTATAACTTGAACTAACTTTCCATGTTAACCCAGAGATAACAAGATGTTTGCCGTACAATGTTAACACAGGGTTATGCGTACAGATTTAACCCAGAGTGGACGAGATGTGTCGTCAGGGTAAAAATAACAGTACTAATAATTCGTGCTATTATACGTACAAAGAAAGTTAATTGAAAAGATGTAACGTTATCCGTGTTGATTTTGTCGGTTTGTGCCAAAGTCAATCCATGTTCCAGTTTCTTTTATTTTTGTCTTTTGTGAAACATGATGAAGATTAATGAAAAAGTTAATTAAAAGCTAATGACCCATGTTATATTCTCTAACATTCGGCGCCTTCATTCTTCGGCTACAAAATAAGGTTATTTCATGTCGCGTTTTTCTTACAAGTTATTGTTTTGATGTGACATAAGAAAATTACATTTATTTACGTGAATGTTTAGAAGTGACACACGTATTAATTGTATGGTTAGTTTTAAAATTCTAAAGTTAAGAAAGTTAACACTGATTTCCAATTTAAACGAAATAATTGTAATATCTTAAACCATTTCGAAGTAGGTTGACCATTTTCCTCTGTGTTACTAAGGAATTTTTTGTAATTAAGAAAAATTAAGATAGTTACTGAAGTGTGATATGGAGTCAGTGACTAAAATTATGTCATGTTAATATTATGTGCCATGAGTCAGTGACTAACATTATACCACGTTAACATTATGTGCCGTGATTCAGTATCCAACATTACACCACGTTAACATTATGTGCCATGAGTCAGTGACTAACATTATGTCATGTTAATATTATGTGCCATGAGTCAGTGACTAACATTATGTCATATTAATATTATGTGCCGTGATTCAGTATCCAACATTACACCACGTTAACAATATGTGCCGTGATTCAGTATCCAACATTACGCCACGTTAACATTATGTGCCGTGATTCAGTATCCAACATTACGTCATGTTAATAATTGTGTACCGTCAGTCAGTGTCCAACATTATGTCTTGTTAACATTGTGTATGTGTCATGGTTTAGTGTTCAGAATTATATCATGTTAATACCTCGTTCAGTTCATAATTTTAACGTTAAATTTGACTGGCAGAATATCTATAAGTGTATTTATTTTAGTTTGAACTACTTTGAAAGTATCAAAAGGACAGTTGATGGCTACTTCGGGAAGTGTGTTACGAAATTTGACACTTTCAGCTTTAAACTGTAGGAAATAGTTGCGTCTAGTGATAAGCTAATCTAGAGATAAACGACTTTCAATTCATGTTCTGGTTAAAAAAATAAATAAAAAAATTTAGTACTCTCTTAGTAACAAACAAGCTCAACCGATTCGGACGACCGCCGGTTTGGTGTGAAGCAGACGACGGCAGTGCCGAACCAGAGAACTAAAGTCTCATTTTTCTTTCTTTTTTTTCTTCTCTTTCCTTCCTAGAATTTGACATTTCATCTGGCGACGTCGTTGAATGCTTAACCTTAAAAATGAGACAGTCACACATCCAAACAGAAACACAGAGCCTACAAAAACCCACACTACAAGCTATCTACTTTTGGCTTTCATGTCTGTAGAAGCCGTCAATGCAAACGTTTTTGCTTTTATTCTTGTAGTTGATGGTTTAGTAATAACCTGCCTTGCAGTTCTGTAAAGGCAAACAAGTTTTGGTGAATGTTTTTATTTTATTTTATTTCTCTCCTTTGCATGTTGAGGAAGGAACGAAATTGTTTTTACTTGACAGCTAGCTCTTCAGTTACGCAGCAAAGTATTATTATATCATTTTTGTTGCTCAACAGGTAGCGTTGACTGTTTGGTTGGGTGACATTCCACGTACAAGATTTTTAATTCTTCTCGTACATTTTGATAATCCTACGTAAGGTCATGTCTGTAGGCAACTTGAAGTTTTATTTTTTTTGTCTCTGCTGGAGAGATTGGGCTGATTTATTGTAGCAGTCATTCTACATCGCAACAAATGACTTTTTTTTTGTAATCCGTAGGAATATTTTTACGCTACAAATAATTGTTTGTTTTGTTTGTTTGTTTTTAATTATGCACAAAGCTACACAAGGGCTATCTGTGCTCTGCCCACCACGGGTATCGAAACCCGGTTTTTAGCGTTGTAAGTTCACGGACATACCGCTGTGCCACTGGGGGGAGGGGGAACTACAAACAATACTGGAACAAAAATAAAAGTATTTGGAAACTACTTTTTTCTCTCCGATTAAACATATAGCATAAATAACATGGGAAGGCAATGTAATTGAGTGCAAGCTAAAAATAAATAAATAAAGAATATTTAATGTAAAATAGGTACAACCAATACAAAACTACTGTCTGATTCACATACAGCATGTGATGTCAAAGCTAATTTGACACATCGATAGAGGTCTCAGTGTCAATAAAAGATATGATATACCTAACATACATAAACAGAATGTTCGGTGGTTTTCTCTTTTTTTTTATGAAGTCTGATAGCAGCATATAAGTTTCCATTCTCTATCTATCGATACTTCTGGATAATCATGGTTTTGGAATTTCAAAGACTTAAACAACATAAAGTTTACTTCTGGCGCCACCAATGCAGTGGCATTCTTACCACACTATGCAGTTTGTGTTACAAATTTTAATAGTTGTAAAGTTTACTTCTGGCGCCACCAATGCAATGGCATTCTTACCACACTATGCAGTTTGTGTTACAAATTTTAATAGTTTTAAAGTTTACTTCTGGCGCCACCAATCCAATGGCATTCTTACCACACTATGTAGTTTGTGTTAGAAATTTTAATAAATGTAAAGTTTACTTCTGGCGCCACCAAACCAACGGCATTATTACCACACTATGCAGTATGTGTTACAAATTTTAATAGATGTAAAGTTTACTTCTGGCGCCACCAAACCAACGGCATTATTACCACACTATGCAGTTTGTGTTACAAATTTTAATAGTTGTAAACTGATTTATTATCTTTGTCTGCCAAGTAGATGTGCCAGTCCCAGTGAGACCAATAAAATTGTTGATGTGATAAAGTCAAAGTTTATAACATAAATCTCAAAACTTTATTAGTGACTTCTTATTTCTGTAAGAAACACTTAATGTATAGCGTGTGCAACGCTTGGTGAAATACGTAGATTCAGAACCATTAAACAATAAAATGAAATATTGCAGCCACAAGATAAGAAACAGAAACTTTGCTGGAATTAATGTGTGGGTTATATAACCGTATTGTAAATCAAGTAATTTTTATATAGTTATGCATACAATAAAAACGCCAGTTTACTTATAATATTGTTTACCTACAAGTAAGTAGGTATATTACAGCATTGGTTTAATTTTTTACTAAACACGTTTTGTTGATTGTGAACTTTTGAGTATCACTTCAGAATATTTACTAAATGATCCCTTATCAAAAACGAACATTTATTAATGTTTACATTGGGAACTGTTTGTACAACACACTAAGTTTTTCGTAATCACATATTTAAGTCATATGAATAAACTTGGATGTGAGTCACAACTCCTGATGGTGTGCTGAAAACAAAATATCGCCCTAAAGGATATATCTTATATTAATGAAATTTGTAGCTTTGTATTTATGTATGCCTGTCCAACTAACTCCCACCACAATCGTGGAGCTAACAGGATCAAACTTAATAGGCGATCTCGGAGTAGTCTGAACTATATGGCGAAGTTCCCACACTAAGGAAGGTTAAACACCCCCGAAAGATCATCCAGGTATGATGGAAGTTGACTAGTTGGTTTCAGGGTTACTCAAACCGAATATGGCATCGGAGTTTGCGTTCCTGGTCCCAGGAGCGCAATGTTTAGCTTTGTATTTTTCCCTTATAATTTTTTAGCTAACCCCTTTCACAGTTTTGGAGCTAGCAGGACAAAACTTGGCATCAGACTCGGGGCGGCCCTGATGTTGTCCTTATCTATATGGCATAGCCCCTACTAAGGGGGCTAAACACCTACGGAAGGTCACCCAGACATGATGGAGTAAAGGGTCAGGCTCTCTGAGCCCGAATCTGGCGTGGTTTTGGGGTTCTTGGCCCCCTATGGAATTCTAGGGACGCCATGTTTGAAACTGTGTTCATAACCATACTCAAAAACTGGCGAGATCAAACCTGGCATGCCTACTGAAGTACCACGCGCGGGCTCCTTAATTACCGGTTTTATCTTTGGGTACAGACATCTCTTGGGATAGATATAGAAGTAAATGGGGATAACGGAGGAGCTACATCGGTTCTTCGGGGTCTTTGCGAATCATGAGAAAGCTTTTGAACCTCACAATGGGGCACAATAATTTTATTCTAGTCAGTGGCTGTGTCTTGCAATCCGGCGTGTTGAACATGCGCCCGAATGCAGCTAAAGGCTTGAAATAGCAAAAGGGACTACTTTCGAAGGGTTAAAATGGAGGATTATTTTTGTAGAATTATCTCTTTTGGTCTACATAAGAAGTTGTACATAATTCCAGGATTTATTGCTTTAAGCCGCCATGAAAAGCCTATACATGTTGGCTAACAGAAAATATTATTTTTTGTGAGGAACCAAAACTGCACATGTTCGGTCGTTGTGACTACAGGAAATACGAAATTAGTGGTTAAAAAAACAAGAGTGATTTATATTGTGAATATAGTTCAGATTTCGTAAAGAAGAAGAAATCTAGACTTATGGTAAGGCTG